CGGCCCGGGGACCGGCCGCCTGCTACGGGTAAAATCCACAGCCGCCTCCTTCTCCCTTTCCCCAGCTCCCTCCTCGCTTCCCGCGGCTTGGGGAAGGGGGTGTTTGTCAGCCAGGCGGCGGGATGGACGAGGCGTGTTAGCAGAGGGGGTGGCGTAGCGGATCGGGAGGGTGACAGGGTGACAAAGCGGGGACTCGGGCCGTGTCCTGAGGAGCCTGCTCCTGCTTTCCCTGCAGGATCCCTAAGGATCCGTGCCAGGGCCCCGCAGGGCAGGACGTGCCGCTGACCGCCTGCCCTCGGCCACCTGCTGCTGCTAAGGGGTCCCTGGAGGTCGCCAAGAGAGCGCATGGATCTAATCTAGATCATGCTGCTTATTCCGCAGAGGAAAACTGACATAGTGCTGCCTGTTTGCCTTGCACAGATAAAGAGCAGGTCGTATTGTAGCACAGCTGGAACAGGAGTAGTTTCCAGATTAAGCTGCGCTCCTGCAGAGTACGAGGTGAAGCACAAGATCTGCCCACTCTGCATCTGTGCTGCCTTGGTAAACATAGCCAGTATGTATCCAGTGCACCTCAAAGAGTAACACACCTTAACATTACTGATTCGAAATATCACGGTGGGTTTTTTGTTTTGCCAGAGTTTCCAATTCTGTCAACCAATTAAAAAAAAAACATTCTTTATGAAAACTTAACAGAACTGAAGTCATTCTGATGACAAGCAAACTGATGAAGTGATTTCAAACTCACAGAAGTTTGGTACTGGGAGGACTAAGTACACCTCAGGTGTTGCCAGTTCCAATACAATTTCTCAGTGCATAGAAAGCCCAACTCATTTGTTGATAGTCCAAAAAGTATTGAAAATACCCTCCTGCATTTCAGTGGACTTCACACCGAGGCATAATCCAAGAATGGAAAAGCATCACAGACTCAGCAAAATTCTCAAGGCCCTGATGTTAATAATTAATCCTAAAAACGTAGAACTATGTGCAAAAAAATTTGAATCAGGAAAGCAGAATATATAACTGTCTATTAAACTGTATGTTCCTGTTTTTAAAAAAGGAATAAGACCTTGATTATTTCTGTTTTGTTAGGAACTGAAAGTGGCTTGGCAATTATAAACAAAAAACCTCATAAGCAAAAAACCTCAACACATAATTATTAAAATTTTATAAGAACAATGTGCTGATATACTGTGGCAAGTACTATAATAAAATACCTGTTAAAATTAATGACAAACTAAAAGATGGCATATGAAAAATAAAAAAAAAACATATAAAGAAAAAAGTGAAAGTCAGTATTCAAAAAGGGGCTAAGGCAGCCATGAGTGCTACATGCAAAATTTGAATTTTGAGGTGTATAAACCACATCAAATATGATACATGGACTATAAGGAAGTTTAGCATTACAAGCAAACTATCATTTAGATCCCATTAGCATAGCAATTCAGCAAAACTCACCAAAGTGATAATTACACAATGAATTTCTTTGTGTTGTACTCTTGCCACAGATTTGTTCTCCAGTTCTCAAATTGGATCTGCACATAAGGAGCTGATACTATTCTGCACAGTCACAGCTTTTATTGAGGCATGTGGCATGATGGGTTACATAGACCCAAGTTTTATGTAAAATCAAAATTGGCTTTGTGTTGAAGAGGTTCTGTGGTTTAACTGCCTCCTATGTATTGGGAACATGAGTCTGCAAGCTATTGTTCATTTCTCTTCTAAAAAGGGTCTAATTTATTTGGATTGTTTTTACCTGTAATCCACCACTTTCAACTCTATACATACTGTAACTAGTTCAGACTTTATATATTTAAATTAAATTGTTAATGAATTGCTCAGTGCATATCAAGGAATAGAGATTGTTATTGTATCTAAGACTGGAAAACAACATGTCTCTGTGCACATGAAATTCACAGTGATTGAACTCATGGGACATGAATATTTAATCTAGGTAAAATTATGGCTACTCAATAGGTAACCAAATTGCAAGATTTTTATCATATTAGCTTTAAATAAAATGAATTAGGCTGTTGAAAAGATGTTTTGCAACCATTAGGTCACAAATTTGCCTGGGAGAACAGATGTAATGGCTTATACTGTTAAGAAGATACTTTGAATCTGTGCTGCTTCTGCTTCTCACGAGGGACTTGTATCTGGATGTGGTTTCTTGGGTCACTTATTTGCATTTACAGATATGTCCTGCTTTGTACTCAAGATTAGGGTAGGGGTCTAAGTGTTGGGGCTGAGACATGGCCTGTGCAGTCGGTTTCTGTGGTGGTTTTTTTGTGTGTGGATTTATTGCTCATGTGGTATTTTCCAATTAAGTGTTATATCCTGGTGAGATTACACTGACAGAAATATTATTATCACATTCTTCTTCTCTGCTCTCATCTCAGTGCAAAGTGGTTTTCATGAGGAACAGCAACAATAGATTGTGGTTTCTCTGGCAGATGAAGAGGCTCGGTTTAGTAATAGCAAGGTGAACATGAGCCATGTTGAAAGTTATGCTGTGACAGAATGAGGTTTCTCCTCTCTAATGTATTTATTTCAATGTTTCTGTAGCCATGTAAAGCTGCCTTTGTATATTCCTGGTTGCACCATCAAGACTGTTTGCCCACCCCCAAGTCTTTAGCCTAGGCATGAATATACCTAGGTATATTAAGTATATATATATTAAGCCTTTAGGAATATACCTAGATATAAATATATATCATAGTGGTCACAACTGAATAATTCTCTGCTCCTGAGAAGCTTTTTTTAATCTTCTATACACCCAAGGCAAGCAGCCCATTAAAATCTTATAGTGCTGTCATTAATATCTAGGAAAAGTAATTATTCTGTATTCCTGGAGTGACTAAGTAGTAATAAAAATTAACTCTCTGAATGTTTTCCTATTTCTCTCCTCTTTCCCTATCCCTAGTACTTCAATAACATCTGCCAAAATCCAAGTGAATGGAGTCCACCTGCATTATCAGCAAACAGGAGAAGGAAGCCATGCAGTTCTTCTGCTTCCAGGAATGCTAGGTTTGGAGATTTTATCTTCTTTGTAGAGCAACCACTCCTTTATTCATTTGGTCTCCAGCAAGAATGCACAAAACTATTTTGTAATGTATTCAACACCTGATTATGGAGCATTGCCATTAAAAAAAATTGCTACACTTAAAACAGAAGGGGAAATGCAGAGTTGTTGCCATCAGTTAACAGTTTTTAGAAGGTTTCATTTATCTTACCAGTCACCTTTTATACAATGTCTTGACTTACCTAGTGGTCACTTGCACTTTTGGATTTAACTGTGTAAAGGTGGTATCCAGGACAGGTGGCAAATAGCTACACAAGGTGGAAAATAGCAGAAGGGGGAGAAAAAATTCAGGTCAGCTATATTTGTTACACAGAGTGACTTATGCATTCCTCTTTAGAAGCTGGATGGATTTCAGCTGAATTTATAGACATAATGTAACCCTTACAGTTTATTGTGAAAAATTCACTGTTAAAATTAATTTTTTGCTTAAAGATGTATTTTCACATTTTGTTTATTCAGGGCAACATCATTAACATTCTCATGGTTTTTTGAGTTGGACAGCAGGTTCTGCTAGCTAAGTGGTGTCTGTCCATTGAAAACACTGTTTTTGATATCAACCTTTTAAAATTAACACAACCTATTTTTTCTGGGTTCTTGCAGTTTTAAACGATCCATCAGACTTACCAACAGTTTATAGCAGGCTGTCAGTAGGACTGTTACTGTGCTCAGAGTTGGGCAAATGATTAATTGAATTGCTGGATAAGATGATAAAATGTCAAGAACTGAAGAGCAGGAAACATTTGTTCTTCTTGGCAGCAATGTTTTCAAGTCTTCATGGAGTGGTTCTTTCTTTCAAAGAATTCTGAAGGGGAGAGTGGAAAAAAATTAATACTAGTCATCCTTCAAGTATTTCAAAATATGAAAAATATATTTCAATCTATTAATTTTCAACAGCTTTTTAAACTAGCAATACTATTGCCAATACAAGCTCTTCAAACAGAAATAATTTATTTCTTCAGTTGTGAGCAATATTATTATTACTGATGATTATTTATTATTATTATGCATACATTGCTATCATCATAGCAGGCTATATAAAGCCTTTTTTATAACTTAGACCTGCTAAGGGTATCTGAGGACTGATTTGTCCAAGTGAACAGAAAAAAAACCCTTTTAAATGCCTTTAAATGGCCTTTTTAATATAGCAAGAGATGTATTTCATATTTCAGCACATTACATTTGAACAACTTTTAATCAAATAGCATTTGATACTATTACCACATGACCACAATACAAATAACACAGACTGCAGTCTTACCTTCATGCTAGGTTACTTTCATTCATAGATAGCTTAGTGCAATAGACAGGAGTCCTTCATGTTTAAACCCTTTGAAGGTTTGAGTAATTAATGAAAGAAATGGTTCTGCATCTGAAAAATGGCAGTATTTGGCTTATTTTTACATACTAGAAAAATAAAATTATATCATTTTATGCTTCTGTGTCACCACAGTCTCCTCAGGCAGCAAAGTATTTAAAGGTCAGCTTTAAGCACCAATAGAGATGCTTTATCAAATCACAACTGTGTGGCACAGTGCTTCTCACTTACAAATTTATAGCAAAATATTCCTGCTCTCTCAGTTTCCCCTGTATTGCCCAGGTAACATGGGCAATTAAATGCCCACATTTAAATCTGTCAAATATGAATCCCCACTCAGGTACCTCAGTTTAAGGTACTGTATTTAATCATATGTGAGAATGCTGTTCTTGATAACCTTTCATACCTACCAGAAAGGGTTTGCTCTGAACATACTGCAGATGCTTCTAAAGATTTTAGCTGCGGCGCTTCCTGTCTAAGAGTGGCAATGAATACTAACAATTAAAGAGTACACTTGTTGGGTAATCTCTTATTTGGAATAAAGTTACAAGATTTCCCCCGTTTCCCTTTAGAGTATGTATACTATGTTTGCAGTATGGTGGTTAATAAAATTGAAAAATTATAATGTTTCAGGGAGTGGTCAAACTGATTTTGGACCGCAGCTTAAGTCTATGAATAAGCAACTTTTCACAGTTGTTGCTTGGGATCCTCGGGGTTATGGAAAGTCCATTCCTCCATCTCGAGACTTTCCTCCAGATTTCTTTGAGAGGGATGCAAAAGATGCTGTGGATCTTATGCAGGTAAATCTATTATGAGATTTTTATTATTTCTTTTTTTTTTAAGTTGTTTTCTTTAAATTTTGAGAAGGAGGAATGTTGTTTCCAGCAGACAGCAAATTATGAAAAGACTCTACAAATGAAGGCTTAAAAGTGAGCATAAACACACTATTCCAGAAAATATTTTCTTCTTCCACCTATTCTGCAAGATGCACAGAGGTTCAGCAGTAGGAAGTAATATAGAACAATATGATTTTATTCTAAGACCTTGCCCTAAGAGGTTTGCAGCCAAGAACCATATAAGTTTAGTTAAATGTGTGTATAAGAAACAAAATCTATGCAAAGTAATTTAATTGAAGGGATTACCGTACTGAAGGGCTCTTAGAAAATTTTCTATCAAATAGAATTTTGGCATTTTGCCTTGAGCAGCCCATTATAAGCAACATTTGATTCTAAAAATTAACTTGATGCTTTGCATTTTACAGCATATTACTGAAGTAATTTTTGTGGGAAATCAAAGGCTTCCTGTGACCATACCAAATCTTACTAATTAATACAGCTATTGTGGTTATAAATAATATGGCCTAAAGCTGTTATTATTTCTCCTTCTTGAAAAATCCTTCAGATTTTTTATTCAAATCTGTGTTTCTCTTTTATTCTGTCCTATAACTGCTGACACTATTTTCTGGTTTAGCTTTAGCTAATATTCTGGCATTATTATATTAGGATATACAGTCTCTTTGGTCATGTTAAGAAAATTGGCGAAGCATTAAAATTCCAAAAATATGAGGCAAGATTCTGACAATCAGTCCAACTGTATTTCTATAATAAACAATAACCTTTCTGAAAACCCATCTGAAACTGGAAATGTGGCCTTCCCGGTGGATTCTGCATAGTGAAACAAAGTAAGTCTGACAGCAGAATCGGGATTAAGACACAGATTTGCCCTCTAACCATAAAAGCTATCTCTCTGTACTGTAAATCTTCAATTTCTTCTGCTACACTAGCAAAGAAAATAAAGATGCTGCCATGAATAGGTGACAAACTTGCAGTCTAAATGGTTGTCCCCCTTTCTTGTCTCTGATCAAATACTAATAAATGCAAAATATTAAACAGACTTTCCCCAAAGGGAATGTAACCATGTAGCTTCCAGCCAAACAGAACAGCAGCCTACCAGTCTCTAGAGCTGCCAAAGCAAATGAGGCATAGCATCCTGTTTTTTTGAAGATGTTTCTCAATATAAGCATATAATAACAACTTACTAAAGTGTTTCCAAGCGTGGGAGACTAGCTGCTATTTTAGGATATTACAAAGGATAGCACAAATCCCAAGGAATCATTCCAACTATGATTTCAAGAATATAATGGTTTATATACATCATCCAGCCTACAATCAGCCAAAAAACACATCCAGATGGGTGAGCTTTCAGAACCTTTTTTCTAGTCTCCTTCAGATTCTGGTGTCTCTGCTGGAACTGTGAGTGATGCAAGATTTCTGTGAAATAACAAAAGCTGAAATTCTGCAGAGTATTTAGGACCTTTATACAGAAGACACCGTTCTGTATCTCTATTTGTGTTCTGTGAAGGAGTTTGCTTGAAATAAAAGGAGCATAATGCACCTGAGCCCACTTTGCTGCCCTCCACCCCAATGTTTAGTGCTAGCAAAGTCAATAGCATTAAAACAATTATTAGGGAAATAATTAGTGTTGATATTTAAGAAGTTCTTACTCTTCAGAGCCACTGTCCTAGCAAAAGGATGGCCTTGAGCTTCTGTATGTTTTTGTAGATCAACTGCAACTTTTGCTTCTCCTACACTCCCTGTGGTGCAATGAAAATATACATGCAGTGCAGAGTGATGTTGTATTGTAGCTCACTGCTGTATGTGGTCATTGGATTGCATTTCACAGAGGCCTGGATGGAGGAGGTGACTTCAAAAGAAATTTTTTTTCACTCACTGAGTAAAGGCAGCACAAAATCACCCACAAAACTGTGCTGTGCAATCAGCTTTCAGGTGATTGCCCATGTTACATTAGTGACCTGCACTGTAAATAGTTAAAAATTAAAGCAAGCAAAATTGCACACCTTATTCAGCATATCTGTTACATCACATTGTTTTTCTGAAGGCTGCAAAGGATAAATTAAATTCCTCCTGCTGGAAAGGCATCCTGAGATACCCCAAAGAATGCATCAAGATAAAGGCTAGTAAACATGAGAAATACTAGAGGCAAATAGATCTCAACCTGGCATGAAGAACAAAAATTTAATCAGCTATTCCATCCTTCAGCCAGCTTTGAGCTCCATCATTTGTAATTGGCAGTAGAGGAACAGTAGCAACATCAAAATTTAACCTTTACAAGCCCTGCTGCCACCCCCCAAAATCTGCCAAGATACCAGGAGCCCTGGAGCAGCACACAGTTGGACTAAGTTGAACTACTTCTTCATCAGACCAGGGCCAACTTCTGATCAGCTGCAAAAATTCGAAGTTCTCTTTTCTTGCTATGAGCTCTCACTTTACGTGTCCCTTTTTTTTCCTCTACCTCATTTATTTTCTGTTTAGTAATTAGCTCAGCTTTGCAGAGTGAAATCTAAAATTGGTGAAAACTACAGTGAGCAGAATAATGAAGATAAAGCCAAAACCATAAAAGCCTTATAGGGATAGAAGTTTGCTAAATATTGAGTTGATTAGTAAAGTTGTGACTCACTTGAGCATTAAGTTTACAAGCAAAGTAGAAACTTCTTTTTCTCCCTCTGTAGTTGCTTCTCTCATTGCCTGGATTTTTGCTTTCTTCTGTCACAACAAAATGGGCCTGGACTTCCGACATCACAAAGCACCAAAGCAACTCATTCAACTAACTTGCTCTTTTATCCTCCAAAAGTACATTATACTCCTTAATTACATCTAAAAGGTTGTAATTACTGCAGAACAAAAGCAAAAACACTGCAAAATATATTTTCTTGTGAATGAGTTCACAAACCACAGTTCCTATATGCAAAACTTCAAGTACTGCTTAACCATTGAACCATTGGTTCACCATCATCCATGTACAACCTTCAGATGAGTGCCTTTACCTTCCCCACTCTTTCTCCACTGAACATAACACACACAAAATTCTCTCACCTGTGACTATCAGTACTCTCTATGACCTATAGTGATTATGAGGAAACAAGGTTTTCAAATTCTAGTAGAAATCATTATCATAGAATCACAGAACTGGAGTTGGAAGGGACCCATCAGGATCATCGAGTCCAACTCCTGGCCCTGTGCAGGACACTCCAAGAGTCACACCATGTACCTGAGAGCATTTTCCAAATGCTGCTTGTACTCTGTCAGGCTTGGTGCTGTGACCACTTCCCCGGGGAGCTGTTCCAGTGCCCATCCACCCTCTGGGTGAAAAACCTTTTCCTGATATCCAACCTAAACCTCCCCCAACTCTTCCTATGCCATTCCCTTGGGTCCTGTCACTGGTCAGAATTAATTAAGGTCTTGGTTGTCATATTTTTTGCCCTAAGCCTTCCTTTTGAAGAAAGAGGAATTTAGATATTAATGTTTCAAAGCGCAACTGACTGTGAAGGAGCATTTCAAACATACAAACTTCAGAAAATGTGAATAAGCAACTAAAATTTGATACAATCCTTTAGAAAATACTTTAAGCATTTTTTTGGTTGTTACCAAAAAGCAGACTTTTTTAAGCTCAGATAGCATCAATAAACCAGATCACCGGCTTCCATTTTTCAAATCTTACACTTTTCTTTTTCTTAAGTTTAGCTTAATCTTACCATCCGCACTGTGATAGTCTTTGCCAGCTTTTACACAGATTCTTCAAATCATCAGGCTGTCTGAAAAGGTCTTTACTCTCCATTTTAAATCAGCTTTTCTTTTTTTGAAGGGCTTTTTAAAACACAGCAAGAATCTGATAGGACTACTGTTCATTTCATTAAAGAGTTATAGAAAATTGAAATGGCAGGGGTAATTTCTTGTTTTCTAAATTTGACTTTTTAAAAGCATTTTTATGTATAGCAAGAAAATTATGTTTTCTAATTATAAAAATGAACTATAGTTCAACTACATAGTGTTGTGCCTAAAACATTACAGTTCATTTTCAAGAAATATTTGACATTTGGCTGTAAATCCAGCTGATGATTTGCATGTAACTTTCTTCTATGAATCAAGGCACTGAAGTTTAAGAAGTTCTCCTTGTTGGGGTGGAGTGATGGTGGAATTACAGCTCTCATTGCTGCTGCAAAGTACCCAAATCTTATCCACAAGCTGGTTGTCTGGGGAGCAAATGCCAGCGTTACTCAGGAGGATGTGAGAATTTACAATGGTATGTAAATGAATTCATTTACTTTCTACTTGACCCAAGGATCTTAGTCATGTGACAGCTAAGTGGAGACAGAGCTGAGCACACAACAAACCTGAAGAGACAGGACACAAAATTCACTGCATTGTGAGGTATAGGGATAGATTTAAGTTATAATGAGAAACTCCCTAACAGTTACTCTAAGGGTAATATAATAGATTTTTTAACAAGCCCTTACCAACTTAGCCTGATGAAAAGCAGAAGTTACAACAGCCTATCAGCAGTTTTCAGGAAGTCAGGGTTTTGTTGTTGTAATAAATTTCTAAAAATAAATTCCAAATAATGCTATCAAATTTCTTATCTCACATCTTGCACAACCTTTTTAAAACCAGGTCCACAGATAATTACTGGGCTAGCTCATTACAGCTTTTGCCTCTAGAGGCTATACAATATAGACAGTAAGAAAATAAGTTCATAACTTACCTTTTAAGTTCAGGAAACAAATGAATCATTCAAGTAAATGTCCCAAGGTGTCTT